GCCAAATGGCATGTCACCCACGTCAAATCTTCATCGCAATATCATAAGAATTAATTAAAAATAAGAAAAGGTGATAATTTAGTGGAACTTGTTTGCATCATCAAGGTGTAGATATTGATCCCACAATAAAGGTTGGCCAAGATGAAGAAACAAAAATTATATTCTTTCTTTACATATAAAATACCAATTCTTGATGCCTCCTTTTCCCTTCCTCGCCACAAGATCTGTTGCCCGCCGTTAAATTTTAATACTCGAAAACACTGTTATGATAACCTACAAAAATCATCACATTTGAAATGACATCTTCTTATTTACTAATAATAGATAAAACACAGAAACGTCAAAAGTTTAGTGAGAAATCGACAAAGAGGACAAGAAAATAGAGACAACAAATCTCGACTCCACCCGAAAGCTCGATTGGTGTTTTGAAAATTTGCGTGCAGAAATTACTAGAACAAAGGACAAGAATGAGTAAAAGAAGTTGAAATATAAGCTAATTTTAGCTTATTTTGATTTTTGAAGAAAGCTTGAAGAGAATAAATAGGACTTCTCCACCATACAGGAGATTCTTAGAACAAGACGGGGAGAAAGAAAGGAACAAGCATATCTTCCCCTCCACTCCCACTCCACTTGGGGGACACAATACAAGGCAGCACAACAAACTTCTCTTCGTTAAAACAGGAATGTTAAAAACAAATCAAAAACAGTCTCGCGTATTCCTATTAGATTAAAACATCCTCGGTTTAAAACCCGGAAAATTTACCGGTACAATAAACCCATCACCAAAAACACAGAGACAAATGAGGACAATAATATGAAATTTAATCTCACGGACTACATAGGTTTGTCGCCGGAATAACAACCTTAATTTAAGAAACACTGAATAGCACACTGACAATCGAATCCAACGCCCACCCAAATGTTTATGCTTCCTCACATTACGAACCCATCTTCACGAGTGTTGTGTCAGCTTTAAGGTTCTGTAGCTGGATTGCTAGGGTTAGATCCAGCATCAGCGAAGCCGGTATTAACACTGGCAGCTAAAGGAACCTGCTCAACTGGCACGGCCCCAGAGAATTTATTGCCATGTGTGCCTGGATTTGTGGCGGATGTCCCAGATTCGGGAGGAACCTCAACATTAGGGACAGAAACATCCATCTGATCAAACTTAGATTTGCGTGGCGGCCTCCTCTCATATCTATCATAGCTGCGGCTGCGAGACCGACCACGGCTATGAGAGCGACTGCGACTGCGAGACCAGCTTCGGCTCCTGCTATAACTCCTACCCCTGCTGCGGCTCCTGCTCGAGCTACGGCTTCGGCTTCTGCTATAACCCCATGTTCGAACTCTCTCAGGACTAGAGCTATAACTTCTCTCTCTTTTCCTGTCTGAAATATCTCTTCTGCTATCAAAGCGTCCCCGGCCCCTGCCCCTACCACGCCCTGGCACGTCTACATTATGATATTGATCACGTGGACCACGTTCATTCCTGTCCCAACCAATCCGAGCACCAGAAAAACCACCATCCCTCCCACCACCACGACCCCCAAAGCCTCCATCTCTCATCCCACCACGTCCGCCGAAGCCACCATCTCTCACCCCACCACGTCCCCCGAAACCAACATCTCTCATCCCACCACGTCCACCGAAACCACCATCTCTCATCCCACGTCCACCGAAACCACCATCTCTCATCCCACCACGACCACCGAAACCACCATCCCTCATGCCACCTCGACCGCCAGAATCCCAACGCCCACCACCATCAACAGAATCGAAGCGGTTTACCCCACCTCGATCTTTGCCATAACCAGGACCACCACGTAAAGCTATTTCTCTCACCTCAGGAGGCACGTTTTGGTTGGCTCCCTCCAAGAGTTTAACAAGATCAGCTGCATATTTCCAGTCTTGCTCTGAGAAGAATGTATAGGCAATACCCGTAGCACCAGCCCTCCCAGTTCTTCCAATGCGGTGAACATAGTCTTCAATCCCAGTTGGGAAGTCATAGTTGACCACTACCCTGTGAGATATAAGTGAAAGGAAAATTCAAGAAAGATATCTCCAACCAATTAAAGCAAAATGATAGAATGCTATTATATCTTTCTCCAAATAAGAATGCATGGAAATTTAAGCAATACCAAGCAAAGTCTTTTCAGAGAGGATTTGGACTGAAATGAAGCAAATAGAAAGTTTATGACCTTATATCTCTTATGTCAAGGCCCCGAGCAGCAACATCAGTGGCAACTAGAACAGGGGACTTGCCCATTCGGAATTGATTCAGTACCCAGTCCCTTTCACCCTGATTTTTGTCTCCATGAATTGCAGCAGCCCCAAAATTACGTCCTAGGCTACGCGCCAGCTGGTCACATAACTTTTTAGTTGAACAAAATATAATAGCTTTAGAACCACGCTCTTGGGATCTAAGAATTTGCTCCAAGCGTCTTTGCTTCTGCATTTCAGGGACTACTTCAACATACTGCATGGTAGAAATACATGTTCAGGGGTCAATACGAGAACAGACAAGAGATGAAAAACTAAGATACAAAAGCAAACCAGATTTTACTCCACAACTAATAACTGCAAGGTATACTTGTAAAGCAGGAGATCTAAAAACAACACTAACAAACATGATTCCGGCACATGCTTAAAGGAAAATAACAAGTTGTGCACCTCAAAGGAGATGATGAGAAACATATTTGTTCTTGGAGTAGCAGAAACTTCTAAAATCTAAACTGAGATAGTAACTTATATGTTATGCAGCTTATGCTAAGATAATTGCACAAAGGGGGAGAAAATGGAAAAAAGAAAGGGACCCTAGCTGAAAGTAAAAACCCAGTTATAAACCTTTTCTTTTTACCATGTGTGACCTATAATTTTAAATATTAATTTTCTTCAATCATTAATCTCTTTATTTGATCTTCTTTAGAAAGACAATTATTATCCCAACTTACCTGTGTGATAGACTTATTTGCAGCAAGTTCGTCGACACTGCCAATATTCACCTGGATTGGATTAACAAGCAGATCGTTTGCTATTTTTCTCACTTCTTTAGGCCATGTTGCTGTGTACATGAGAGTTTGCCTTCTTGGAGGTATTTCATTGACAATCTTGCGGATCTGAGGTTCAAATCCCATGTCAAGCATTCTATCAGCCTCATCTAGCACAAGAAGAGAAACCTGCCTAAAATCAATTCTCTTCATTTCGAGTATGTCATTGAGCCGCCCAGGAGTTGCCACCACAACATCCGCACCACGATCCAGTTCTTTTAACTGAGGGCCCTTTGGAGCACCACCATACAAGCACTGAAACAAAAAAAAATGAAACGTTTTTTCTTCCATTCAGCAGGTAAAAACTTCAATTTAGAAGAATGTAGAAGTAAAGAAAAAAAGGAATGACGACTCACTGTGCAAGAGACTCTAGATGATCGGCCAAACTTGATTGCTTCATCTTGGATTTGGGTAGCAAGCTCCCGAGTTGGAGCTAAAACCAACACAGTTGGACCATTAAGAGGGTTATTTTGCCGTCGCCTAAGATGAATGAATGCAGGGATCAGATATCCCAATGTTTTACCAGAACCTGTCTTGGCAATAGCAACTATGTCCCTATTCTGTAGAGCAATAGGCCATGTCTGTGCTTGAATTGGAGTGGGAGAAGAGAAACCAGCAAAATGTATCTGAAACAGAATTATGTAAACAATGAGCCTCTTAATGAGAAAAAACTAAGAAACTTGAACCAAGTTTGGACATGATGTAAGATGAAAAAACACACTAAGAGGGAAATGTTTCACTATTTGAAAAGGAAAAAGATAGAAGGGGGAAAAAGATTGCTCAAAAAAAACCCATGGGCGTGCAGTTGCTTACTGAAGCAACTCGAGGCAACAAAATGGAGCATTTAAAAGAGAAGAGGCGGAGCCAATAAGCTAGAAACCCCAGTCACATATAGTATGAATTGAATGAGGAGCAACCATCCTACAACAATCTGCCAGAGGAAGGCTCCAATTGTTCATGTTGCAGCCTCAAAAACTCAGAATAGTTCTTGCAAAAGTATGAGCTAGCACTGCAGCGTACGACATGTGCTCCTCTTCTGGAGCAGATATCGCACCTGCGACAAGTGAAAACTAATAAGCTAAAAGAATGAATTTTGCGAATGAAATGAAATAAGTCGAGAAAAGATGGACTTTAAGATCTTCATGGCACTTATAAACAGTTAATCACAGTTTGGGTTAAAATACTTACCTCGTGTAGTATCTCTGGAGGAAAGCCAGTGGCTTCAAATGTCATGAATGGAGCAGGAACATTGTCACCCTGGATAGGAATTGGGTCATCAGATTTTAGTAATTATTAACTTCGATAAGCATACCATTGGACTGAAGAACCTACCAAAAAAAGAGGGAATATGGCAGCAGCTAAAACAGCTTATTGTGCAGACTCTTGATAAACAAATATATTGGTGCTAAACTTTTTTTTCTGGCCGTGCATCAATTCTAAAAATAGAAGTAACAATCTCATGACCAAGAAATACCATAATCGCAGAGCATGTAGAAGCAACGGAGGCCTTAATTGTAGTTCAATCATACGGTCAGTGATGTAATATGAAGAGAATGCAAGACAATATATTTTAACCATCGAATTTATGACAAGAACAAGGCAGATTATTGCATTGAGTTGGGAAAGTAATACCAGAAGAGGGTGTTTATTTTTGGAAAGTAGACATAAGGGGTATTCCAATAAGCTAATGGAGACATTTAAGAGGAGGTTATCTAGATCTGCAAGGTCCAAACCCACATCACATGGACACCTGTTTCCATCTTATAGATAGGAAGCTATATGTTTCTTATCTTTCTCCTCCTAGTTAGAAATCTTCTCTCTTCGGCTCTTCCCAGTCTACCATCAATAAAGCACAGTCCAGAAGATGTCCTACGCCCATATCCGAGCCATATAATGTAAACATGGGTAAATTCCACGCACATTGGACTACATACCCAACACAATTACTTTCCTCTATTCAGAAGGACATTTTCATCAATTTTCCAAAAATTCAGATATGTGATCTCTTTAAGTACTTTATAGCAATGAGTTGCTATTAGCAGCTTTCTTCGAGATTCTCATAATAGCTTTTGCTTCATATGATTCACATTTTTCTTAACCTAACCATCTTGCATCTGGGAATTCTAATGTAAATATTTCATCAACAACAAAAATAACATATATGGACCATGGACGTAGAAAACTTTCTCAAAAATAACATATATGGATCATGGAGGTAGAAAACTTTCTACGTGATGCAAATGATGTGAAATCCTTAGATTATACGTAATTTAGAAAGCAGCTAATACAAACCGTGGCTGTTACTTCATGCTTTTCACAATAAACCTCGGCTGCTGAGAGAGGAATAGCATCTGAGGGTCCCATCATTACAGGAGGCCTGACCAGAGAATTGCCTGGAAATGGTGGGTTGACAGTTGCATGACCATAGCTGCCATGCGTTGGAGGTCCTGCGGGGCCATTTGATTGCCCAGGAAGATTAATAGAAACATTTTGAGAGGGGAAATCACGCATCCTCGGTTCCTGATAAAAAGTAGCACAGGCATCAACAGACATCCAGTGAAGTGCTTTCCATTAGAGACACGAGGACGCAGATTTACAAGAAAACTAATCAGAAACTTGTAAATTGTAAGAACATGGCATAGAAAGATGTGTTTTCTCCATCTTATAATCTCTTTCCTTCTATAATAGTCATAAATCATTCATCATGTGCACTACAGGTAACTAAAGTAGGCA